TTATTATTTCCCACGTGAAAATCTCTTTGCCAAATCATCATATTGGCACACTCATTTTCAAATTGAAAGCCCATGATTGCATATTCTTTAGATACACGGGTACAATCATTAATAATTAATCATTTCAACAATTTTAGCTCCAATTCAATTGTTTGGTGGAATAATTTGATAAAAATCAAATATGTTAAGTATGAAATAAAATTAATTTTTTTCAATAAATAGTACTGACCGCAATATTTATATCTTTTGTTCTATCCAATAAAGTTTTCAACCAATTTCTTCCATAGACGTTCCCAATGGCATCTTCCAAATATGCACTGTATAGCATAATTAAAATTAGAGTTGAATAAATCAAAATAAAATTGTAGCATTTAAATCAATAATAAAAAATCATCTTTCTAACCTTGATTCGTTCTCCGCTATCCAGTTTCTAAGAGTCGAGTATTTTTGCATAGAATAATCTTCTAAAGGACGTCTTCTAGACGAAGAAGATTCTATTTGTTTTCCCTTTTTTTTTCTTCTTTCCTTGTGATGTTTCAGAACTTTCGACTTGTTGAGAAGTTGATGCATCCTTCGGTCGATCATCGGGAATCGGACATGTACCAATAGGAATGTTTTTTGCGTACAACTAATAATGGCTTTCATGTCTGATTTCCATTCAGATAATTTCTGCAACGTATTCTTATTTTGTTCATCCACATAATATTACATGGAATCTAAACTGGTATCTACATAAGAGTGCATGGTCTGATAATGGTCTTCTTGCCATTTTTGTTGTTGTTGGAATAATTGTTCCTCTTTCTCCAAATGTGTGTTAAAAAAACTTGATAATGACTTATACATGTAGGAACGAATAGTAGATTGCATATAATCCTCCTGTCATTTTTGGTGTTGTTCGAACAACTGTCTTTGATTGTCATAAACTTTTATTCTCAAGTTGCCACATATATCAAACACATCTTTTATTATGTCTTGCTTTTGGACACCAAGTAGTTCTATCATCCAGTCTTCAGTCACATAATTAGAGGTGCTAGATCCAAAATTAGGCCCCGCTACTTGTGAAGTTCTTGACGTACTAGGAATGGTCGTCTCTGGCGCATATATATTATCTCTTTCTTGCTCAAAAGTATCCTCTGAGATTTGTTGTACCACATTGTCTAATTCTCCATCGACGATGTCATCTAATACACGATGTTCATTATTAGCTGGCAGTGAAAAATTTATATACCAAGATGTCTCCAATTCTTCCTCCGTGGGATGTAATGTTGAAATAACCTGAATCTGTAATTTTAATAAAATATCAAAATAATTTTTTCATTTTGTTTTTAAATAATTAAACACAAATGTATTTATATATTCATTAAAAGAAATCGTACCTCTCGAGTAGCCAAAAAATGCTTAATCGTTTTTTCAGTCAGCAGTTTATTAGAACTCCACTTATACATTCGTGGACTCTGTGCTATTTTGTATCGACGTCGTCCAAATTTTTTTCCAATTTCTGGAAATGCCTCATAAATCCAATACTGCATCGCAATTACAAATTACAATTATTTTTCTCTTACAAATAAATGAAGTCAACAAAAGAAAAAAAAATATTAATAACATACCTGAAATGCAAGTGGATACCCTCGTAATGCATACTTACAATCTATTTGTTCGTTCCGTTGCACTCTTTCTGCTCTTTGCAATTGTGATTCTCGTAGTGAATTTAACAAAATAAAAAATCATTTTCGACCCCAAGGATATCCAAGAAATTCATCAAGATGCTCGACCATACCAAGATTTTTGTAACCAATAATTCTTCCAACTGATTTTATAACACATTCCACCAATATAACTAATTTCAACTTAAATTTATCTACTAAGTCTTCACATTCATGGAAAACTTCAAATAGCATTTTTATGCTAATTCTTTGACTACTATTGAAATAATGATTTCTAAGACGATTATTGCTATGATCAATCTTCATAACCGGTTCGTGACAAGGTAATCCAGTGATAAAACAAAATTCTTGCATACGAAATCTAGCAATACGATCATCTAATTTTACCCATACTTTGTTATTTTTGCCACAGTCAACAAGTCGCATTACGAATTCATGTATCAATCTACTACTAAATAGCTCTTCATCTTCTTTATAAATAATTCCAGAAAAAAATTCATAAAAATTACTACACATTATAAGAACATTGTTGATTTGTATCTATAAAATCTATAAAATTTTTAAGATATTCCCGACTCGGATATTGAGTAATAGTAGCAGAAAACCATTGATTTGGAAACAGTATATATTCCAAAGACATCTGCATAAATAATTTGAAAACATACTATTTGTAAACAAATTTAACAATTCTAAACAAGTAGCGAAATAATATTTATACAAATTCAAAAATACATGAACACGGGAAAAAATACAAATTCAAAAACCTTCGTGCACGGAGTTTGGGAACCTCCGTGCACGGAGGCATGAAACCTCCGTCACGGACAAATTAACTAGAGAGGCATATGGACAAAAATACAGACATAGGTAAGATTTCTACTGCATTACATTTAAACAAATCATTTCATAATTTATTTTTTACGTACAAATTTATTGCGTGCAAAATAATATATAAAATATTTCATAATTAATTTTTACGTTCAAAGTTAATGTATGCAAAATAACATATAAAACAATTTACGTAACCTTGTAGGCGTGATGGTTGTCACTATAGGTGTTCGATAGAAACGCCTTATTCAAACTAACTTTGGTACAGAAGCTTATCTACAAGATGTAGTCTTGATAGATAAAGAATTCAAAACTGTTATACTAACATTATGGGATACCTTTGTAGAAAGAGAATGCACTTCGATAATTAAACATCTTCCAAATAGGCCCCTTAAAAGGGCTACAAATCTCAAAGTTTCTTCGTTCAACGGTAAATTTCTTTTACAAATACAATTCTATTTATAATATTATTTTTTTTCATGTAAGATATTCTTAATTTCTTTTGTACAGGCATTACACTTTCGACCAAAGTAAATAGCAATTTTTCATTAATGTCCATGACTACATGCTGTTGCGGAGTACAAAGAATGGTAATACAACATACCTAATATACATATTTCTTATTTACGTACCTTTAATACAAAAAAAAAAAAACAAAGGTTCTATTTTATAACTAAATATATCGTTATTTCTTGTAGGGTGAAAGCTATCAAGGAAGCGCTTGACAAACTGACGGAAAATAAATTTTTTATTGCTGTCAGCCCACCGAAACTTTATCCTCCTACTGATAATGAATTGACACTGATTGAGGATTTATTAGAGGTGTATCTAACGGTACTTCTATACTAATATAAACGGAATATAATTAATAGAAACACATTATCTTTAATTTCACAATAAATATTATAGTAACATCACGTATTTTTCTCAGTCGTACCCTTTTATCTAATTACATGAGACATATCTTTTAACAGAAGAAATTTTACTGGGTGAATGCACGCTAGAAAATAGCTTCAAAGGACCAAAAATTTTGGTATATGTCTTATAACAACTGCAAGAAAACTTTCAACGCGAACTTTGGAGAAATTCGTAAATGTCGATTATGCAAGTACGAACACTCAAAAACTATCCCAAGGTAATTTCTTCTATTAAATATAAGTTCAAAAATTTACTAATTATTACTTCAAGAATAAGGTACATAATACATGGCTTAAAAAAAACGTATTCTTTAGGGTAAATGCTTTTGTACAACTTGAAGATAAATCCGGTTCATTAAATGCAACCATCATAGGAGATGCAGCAGAAGTGTTACTCGAAAGTAGCGCTAATAACTTAATGAACCATCTTCGGAAGGTACAACATCATATTCAACATCCTTCGAAAATGCTTTCTTCTTAACAACAAACACGCCACTCTATTGAAATATATTTCGTCAACTACAGGAAGGTATTAAAGAACTCAATGATGTTCTCAAATTGGAAAGTGATACAGAGCTACTCTTTTACCTCAAGGCAACAGAAAAGCGCCACGACCCACTTGAGTACTGCTTTGAAATCATATTCGTGTTCAACTCCTCCACAGTAAATCAAGTTGATTCCTCAATTGTTACAGAAGATGCAAACAGGCAAATTGAAATGGAAAAAATTCCAACAACAAAGACGTAAAAGGCAAGAACAAGGTGTCCAGACGACCCGATGACATTTCCACCGCTCCTGAAGAAATCAATCCACCGCATGCAAAAATGTCTCTCTTCCAACCATCAGATGTACCTATTGGAGCAGAGTCAAAACCCAAAAAAAGGACTCACACAGGCTCCAAAATCGATGACCGAACCATTGGGATCACCTTAAAAGAAAAACATGAATGAATAACATATATGATACTTTTGTGACTATTTTGTGACAGTAAACAATAATTAATGTTCTATTTTGTATATCTGGAGCAAGTAACATGATCTGTATATATGTTTGTCTATGTACAAGACTTTCAATTCCATCGAATAGTAATAAATTACTACTCTTAAAATTTAAAGTTTGTTGTAGGCGTCTTACTTTCCTTTTTCTCCTTTCCATTGCAAATACAATGAAATATTATTATGTTAAATCAGTCCATTTCAAAATTAATATCATAGCTTACATCCAATGATTCTGTTTTTAACTAATGAATTCACTTTTTCTTTAAACAGAAAACTAATATCAACATTAAAAACTAAACAATTTTCAACATTAAAAACGCTAACATAACGTTCAACAGAATCCTGCCCGTGCAATATAGACTAGTATTGTCTAAAAAACTCTATTAAACAATCATGTGCACACCCTTTTCAAGGATATTTTAGCCATCTACCTATATTTCTTTACAAACAATTAGAAAAGGAGAAGAAAAAGGAAAAAAATTGGGAATAGAATATTTCTGTCCAAAACGATCCACATGCACTAAAAATCAAAGTTTGAGATCTAAATGAAACGAAAATTTGAATGAGGACTCAGGTGCTACGAGAAGTTTAGCTTGGAGACTGCAGATGCAAATTTGCAGGGGGAATGGATCGGTTTTCCGGGTTGTGATCCTCCGTCTGAACCGCCACGAAAATCAACACCTCAAACTATTCACTCTCAGCTACAAATTGTCTCTCTTATCACAATCACTAAGCGTGATATCTTTCGATCTGGTTCCGTAGACGAATGTCCTTCACAATTCAACTCTTTCTCACCGATTAATCAAATGCCACGGTAGCACACACCGATACTTGTTACACAAAAGGGCAAAGAAATGGCGGGATCTATGAACATGAGAGCGTTTGATTGGAAGAATGGTCAGACCATAATGTTGGTTCTTTTAGTAATAATGGCATCCTTCTACACTGGCACATTTTTTGGCAATAAATTTTCTTCCGTATACGTACCACTCCAACAGTCAGACTTACAACACCGGGATGTCAATAATTTATCAGTTGCTGGTCAGTGCAGTTATGCATTTCCTCTGTTAAAATATTTTATTACTGTATTATGGTTTTTTATTACCACAGTAAAAAGTTGCATCCAGCTAAGAAAATGGATTAATTTTTGTAGGTTGATGTTAATGTTTGGTAATAAATCCTTAGAAGTATGGGGTTTCTCTTTTATGATAGATTGAGGAGTAGTAAATGGTAAATACTATCTATCATTGAAATGGAAAGTAATTCGATCTTCGTTATGTAGAGTGGAAAGTTTACCAGAAATGGCAAGCTCAGTAAAGTGCGTTCCTTTTATAAAATAAACGCACTACTAAAATGTTGATTTTTAATTACTGCAGTAAAAAATTACATATTAACTATTCTACTGGTATTCGATTTGGGTCTGAAAGTTAAGAAAAATAACGTTCATTTGACGTTTACATCTTCGAATATTTAGTAATATATCTTTAAAAAGCACGGTTTTCGCATATAACAAGGTTGAGGAGTACTAAATATCATTGCATGAAGAGATAATTCATGCTTAGTTATGTGGAATGGGGAATTCTCAGAAATGTGCAGGCTTAGTAAATGAATTTGTTATAAAAAAAATATAAAATCTATTTTAGTTATTGGGTTTTTGAAAAGCTTAAATATTTGCTCGCATTGTTTCATTAATGAATCCACAGTTATACACAGATGAAGAATGGAAGTAGTGTCATATGTACAATAATTTGGAATTCATGAGCTCATATATCCAGCGCAGTTGAGGTTGAGCACTTTCCAGTTTCAAACACCTAGCCACTTAAAATTTGTTTTTGGAGGTTGATAATCGGAAAGTATGAGCTTTCAGTGGGCTGTGCTCCTAACAGATCTTGGTTATTGCTGTATGGATGTTCGTCGAAATGCCTTTCGTATTTCTTTTTTATGTCATTATCTTTATGCTTGCAGTTACTTCCAAATTTACAAATAAAGTAGCTCTCACTTATCAGACAGTGCCACTTACGATCCCAGAAACTGGGATGAATGTATGCCCTTTGTCATATACTGAATACATTCCATGTCATGATATTTCTTACAATAAGGGATTGCTACCCAAGTTAGATCTTTCTAGAAAAGAAGAGCTGGAGAGGCATTGTCCTCCACTTGGTAGGCGCTTGTTTTGTTTGGTTCCACCGCCGGCTGATTATAAGTTGCCAATAAGGTGGCCAACGAGTAGGGACTACGTCTGGCGAAGCAATGTGAATCATACGCGCCTCGCTGAGGTAAAAGGAGGGCAAAATTGGGTGCATGACAAAGATCAGCTTTGGTGGTTTCCTGGTGGCGGTACTCATTTCAAGCATGGAGCCACTGAGTACATTAAGAGGTATATATAGATTTTACTTGCTTCAGTGATTATTGAAAAAAGGTTTTATGTTGAAGTATATGAGATGCCCTTACCAGTCTTTAACATTTCACCTCAGATTTTTAAAATAAATTGTCCCTGTGGATGTATGAAGAAAAGTTATGGGCAACTTTAAGCTGTTGTGCTTGTAATATTTCCAAAATTAGCAATTCCTCCAAGCAGAGTAGCCAAACTTATTGCGTACAACTGATAATTTCATTTTCTGATCTCAAGTTTGCAACTTCACCTGTTATTTGGAACATTTGGATGGATAGCACTACAGTACCAACGGTATTAGATTATCTGCTAGATTTGCCTTAAGATGAGTATTAGCAATATATTTTGTCAGGATAAATGCCCATTTTCTTTATTCCATGAGCTTCAACAATAAGTTTTTTAGGACCTGATGTCATTCAACATTTTACTGACTGTTTTAATTTCTTGATAAAGCTAGTACAAATTTCCACTCCTTTCACTTAATTTCTGAATATTCGCAATCAAATTTTCCTTTGATAGTCAAATATGTTGTTTATTTGTAGGACTGTAGAAAGTATGAAATTATATGTAGATGAAAATGGGAACATGAAAGAAAATGTAGCATCAAAATTACTATATGGTGAGGAGAAAAGTTTAACTCGTGAAGTCACCTATAGTTTCTCATAACAACAGTTCAGTCTACACTTGAGATATCAGATATACACCTTAGTCTAGTGGTTTTACAGAGTTCTTGTACTATTAGTTAAGGCCCCATTTGAGCCACATTAATATAAAAATGAGAATGAAAAATATAGTTGTTACGGATCTCACAAAAGAGATAGATTTTCAAATATGGTGGCTTGATGTGATGGATAACGGTCATATTTTTCATTTTAATGAATAAATAATGGGAAACAAACAGAGGCTTAATAATCTCAGAGAAAAGGAGTGAGTAAATAAATATTGATTGTTCAAGAAAGTTTAATACATATTATTGTTGCCAGTTGACTGTGATTACACTATCTGTTAGGAAAAAAACTACGGCGGTATGTTTTATATGATAACGAATTAACTGATTATTCTTACAGGCAACGAGCACCCCTTTTTTAAGGTTTTTTTTTTGGGGGGGGGGGGGGGTTATGTTTGTCCAATCATGTTTTGTGACAAGTTCTATTCAGTACTACATAATTGCTATTGTTATTCTCTGGGGTGGTACTTCCATGATGTCACCTGAGTAAATCTTATCTGTTCTTGGAGCATCTTGATCTATGTTTCATCCTCTGAATTACCTTTGTCATGTAGTTGCTTGTAAAGTAGCCAATTTTTGCCGCCTTTTGATCTAATAGTTACATTTCCTTTTGTTTAGTTCATAATTTTGTAAAGCTTTTCTATGGCTCTGTCTTCCTATTACTTAAGTGGTGCACCAATCTACGTATTATTATTCTAACTCATCTTGAAAACCTATGCCCAACTCTATAAGATTTTACCTTGATGAATTCAGTTGTCAATCATCCTTAGCTCTCTCCTATAGGACTCCAAAATCAGCTTCCAACTCTCTTACATTTATATTATCGTGTCTCTAGATTTGCACATATGTAAGTGACACCTAAATTTTTATTTTTGTCAATCCCAAGAAACCAAACTCATCCCATGTATGAAAACAAGAACTTTTCGTCAACTCAAACTACAGATGTGCATGTTTCCCTCTCATCAGTTTTATAGAAATTAAAGGGGAGAAAAGAAGAAGAAGAAGAAGTTGGAAGTGAATGGAATGCTTTCTGAGGTTAATAGAGTTAATATTTATGACCAGAACACACCCTTGCTTATGTACATATTTTTTCTGTTTAAGATGAACCTTTCACTTTTTTGACTTTCGAGTGAACGTGATGTATTTGGTTACCTGGGGTACAGTTGGTGCATCTTTGAAATTTATCAGGTAACAAAAGAGGTTGTTGGCTTGATGTATTAAATAATTCCAGAAAAACAAGTAGCTGCACATGTTCTAAAGAATGTTTGATTTTAACTTTGGCCTATTTTGAACCATAATTTCTTCGTCTGAGTCTGTAACGTTCCTTTGACAAGTTTTTGCAACTCCTTGAATATTGTTAACGCTATTGTCTGGTTAGGTTCAGGTAATGCGTCTAATCAACGATGTCTGTGCTGCTGCTGCAGGTTAGGAAATATGATGACGAGTAAGACTGGTGACCTGCATTCTGCAGGGGTATATCAAGTATTAGATGTTGGTTGCGGGGTAGCTAGTTTCTCAGCCTATCTTCTTCCTTTGAATATTCAAACTATGTCTTTTGCTCCAAAAGATGGCCATGAAAATCAAATTCAGTTTGCTTTAGAACGAGGGATTGGAGCAATGATTTCTGCTTTAGCCACTAAACAGCTACCATATCCCAGTTGCTCTTTTGAAATGGTCCATTGTTCTAGATGTCGTGTTGATTGGCATGAGAATGGTTAGTCTTCCTATCCTTGGAGATGAATAGTAAAGATTGCATTTTATATAAGATAAAATCTATAGCATTTTGCTCCACATGAGTATTTTTATTTGAGGAAACACTTTCTGAATATGTTAAGCAGAAACAACTCAAAACTTTATGAACATATCTGTTTCATTTTGTATCTTTTATTATGACACTTATCCAGTTTTTTAAAAACATATTAGCATGAACTCAATGTCATCTCTTCGGTGTTAAAAATATATTTAGTTTTGAAATAAACAACTCAAATGAGATAAAGGTTTAGTCATACTTGTGAGTAGAATGTCAACTGATCCTCTTTCTTTTGGGTGCAGATGGCATTCTAATTAAAGAAGTTGATCGCCTATTGCGAACCAATGGATATTTTGTCTACTCTGCTCCACCTGCTTACAGGAAAGATAAAGATTTTCCAGCAATTTGGGACAAGTTGATGAATCTGACTTCTGCAATGTGCTGGAAACTCATTGCTAGGGAAGTTCAGACAGCAATCTGGACTAAGCCACAGAACAACTCATGTCTTCAACACAATGCACAGGAGAAGCTTCTAAGCCTATGTGACTCCGTGGATGATTATAAACCCTCATGGAAAACACCTTTGAGGAACTGTATAACACCACGTGCTTCTCAGACTCTGCCTCCCAGGCCACAGCGCCTTTCAGAATATTCTAGAACTCTCAATAACCTTGGTATGTAACTGAAAATGTTTCCTTTTCAGGCAGTTGTGAGTCCATATCTTTAATTAATTTTGGCTAGTATGTTCTGTAGAGTAATTTTGATGGTGCATCTTTTTATGACTAGACTTCATAATTTGGTGATTATTGGAAACGTGTAAATTGTTTACTCAATGAATTGCATGACAAAATCTGAAACATAGTATAATAAATTTTTTAGTAACTGGTGGAGAGGATTTAAAATTTCTTTCAGTTTAGAAGTACATTAAGAGTGTGTTTGATTGACATGGAAAATATTACCTAGAAAAGAAAATATTTTCCATCTTTTGTGGAAAATAAAAACCACCTCTACTCAAGGAAAATATTTTCATTAAAAACAAGGAAAATTAGGCATATTTTCAAAAGTTGGAAAATGTTTTCCATGGAAAAAAATAGCAATCAAACACTCCAAGTGAAAATTTGGATGGAAAACTAATATTTTCCATGGAAAATAAATGTAATCAAACACACCCTAAATGATGAAGAGAGTGTTCTTTTTCCCCTAATAAAAAGAGGATGTCAAAGCTTCTTTTGAATATAAGGTAATGAATATTCATTATATGATGGTAACATTATACGTTCCCTTAAAACCATGTGCCCCAGTTGTGCTTCTGCAGTGGCTGAACATTTCGATCATGATTTTATATTCAAACTCCTCCTTGGCTACTGATACATATTCCAGTTATAGAGATATAGAAGTGAGTTGTTGCTAACAGTGTGCTTCAACTTGTTCAGCTCGTTATTTTTCTCTGTGGTCTTCAAAACAATCATAGGTGTCATGTGGCATACTGGATTGATTGTTTATTTGCTAGTAAGATCACATTGTCATTCTAGATTTCCTCATTTGAGTTATGTCATGTGCATTAATCTTGTACTCATTGAGTCGTTATTATTTATCATATCATTATATCATAAAATTGGTGCAGGTATCAGTCGAGAAAAGTTCTTATCAGATACAATCTACTGGCAGGATCAAGTTCGTCACTACTGGAGACTGATGGATGTTGAAGAGAATGAAGTTCGGAATGTCATGGACATGAGTGCTTTCCTTGGTGGATTTGCAGTTGCTTTGAGTACATGGCCTGTTTGGGTCATGAATGTAGTACCTGTTACCACAGTGAATACCTTATCTGCTATTTACGACCGTGGTCTGATTGGCACCTTTCATGACTGGTAAGCTTCCAGATTATAACTTTTCTATGCTTTGAATCCGGTGAGGAATATGACACCATTTTATTTTGGAATCTGAAGGTGTGAACCGTTCTCTACATACCCACGCTCGTATGATTTGTTGCATGCCAACCATCTTTTCTCTGACTATAAAAATCAGGAAGAAGGTTGCTTACTAGAGGACATCATGCTGGAGATGGATAGAATATTACGTCCTCGGGTAAATAATTCTTGGTACTCTGAGTTTTATCCTTACGGCCATCAGCAAATAATTTAAACTATTGTCGTCTAGTTTGTCATAATTGAAGACACCTTAAAACTGTTGATTCTATATGACGATAGATGAGAGAGGCAATAGATTAGAGCCTAACCTAACCAATTGAAGCATTCGTCTGAAGCAAAGATTGCTTTGGTGTTGGAAAGAATCGAATAAAAAAGTGAATTCATCTGAAGCAAAGATCGCTTTGGTGTTGGAAAGAATCAAATAAAAAAGTGAATTCACTCGGGGAAAATGTGGTGTTAGGCATTCTTTTCAAAGTTCTTTGGTGGAGACTTGGGGAAAAAAGGTAAGGACAGAAGGGCTTGAGAAGAATAGACAGGTATGACCATACAGATATACGTATGAGTAAAAAGGCCAACATTGAACGTATCAGATACAAATTTTCTAACTTAAATCAAAATATTAAAATTTAGAGTCTGAATCCAATAATGTAGTTTTTGTGCAGCTGAACCATTTTGAGCCGCATCCCAAGCAAGGCCGCTTCCATTTTCTTTTATTACTTTCCCCGTGTCCTGCTCAGGTTACCTCTGGCTGAGATCACTCTTGTCTTGTGAGTTGCGGAAATAGTCAAGATGTTAGGTTATGTCTGACGTGAGGAAGTAGGTAGAATTGAAAAGGTGACGTGGAACCATGGAAAATGAGTTAGCGGGGATGTTGGGAGGGAACAGAAAACGGGTGGAAAGTGTACATATGTATTCCATTTCACAAAATTATAAAAAAAGATTCAAAAACTGGTCTATGTCAAAATTTTCCCCGTTCCATTTCAAGTAAAGGCTAGAAAACAGTTTCCTCCAAACTCTATTGCCCTCTACCGAACACAACTTTCAGATTCCAATAACGTATGTTATAGAGGCCAAACACTTCTCAGGTGTGACCCCTCATGAGACCATGTCCTTAATTTTACAACTTCAGATTGGGTGCCTTTGAATTTCGCTACTTAGGTGGATGGAAAATGTGCAGAAATATCCTGTTTTCCCTGGAAAATGGAAAATTTCCAACTTTTGGCATATTTGATGGCAATTATTTTCTTGGCAATTTGTTTTCCTTCTTTTCTCCACACGTGCAATTTCCTTGGTGTTTTCCACCCTTTTTTTCCTTTTTTGTCAATTGGAACAAATTCTATACCCAATTGTAACAAATTTTGTCTCTTTAATTGACAATTTCCATGAAAAACAAAGCCAAGCAAACGCTAAAAGTTAGAAAATTTCAATATTTTTCAGGTGGAAAATTATATGAATCAAACACATTAAATTGACAATTTCTAGAAAAACAAGTTCTAGGCAATTTCTTGGAATTAGTTTTTTTTCATCCAAATTCCATTTTTGTAATCAAACGGATAACGGAAAGCGATGTTACCCAACACACAAACTGTGTAATACGAGGCATTGTGCTGATGCTTTGGAGGGACGAAAGAGTGGACTGACTTGCATGTCATCCATCTAATCAATTTTTCTATCAGACAACCCTTGTCCGTTTCCTCACCATCCACCGGAGCCCCAACACACGCGCACGCATCAAATCCCCATCCTGGCCTTAGGAGGTTTAAATGCAACTAGTCCAGGTTTTTCCTTCAACATTACAAATAAAAATCTCATGAATGTTGATGTGCAGGGATACATTATTATCAGAGGTGAAACTGAACCACTTATTAATAGGATAGTAGATCTTGCTCCTAAGTTTCTTTGGGATACTCGGTTGCATTTTCTGGAAGACGATCAGAAGAAAATGGAACCAGTCTTATTTTGCAGAAAGAAGTTCTGGTCCATCGTTTGAGGTATTCGCATGCTGTGAATACAGGTATTTATGTGTCTGACTAGCAACGTGCTACTTGTATCACGAGACACATGGATTTCGTCTTCCTTTGTATTCCATCTGTATCTACTTATTGAACTTTTCAAAAATGAAGAAACCGTGATTGCTTTTAATTTATTTATTCTTGCAACTCCATTACTTTGTAAATTCTGAGATGAAGCTTTTCATTTGTGGATTGGCCAAAATAGAGGTTCTTGAATTCATTGCCGTCTTTGTAGATCTTTTGTAACATCTAGGATTCTCATTTTTATCAAAATACATTTTTCTCCCTTATTTTTAACAATACATTCTTCATTAAAATAATATTATACGTAAAAAAAAAAAAACTTTTCATCCACACATTTTTCATCAATCTACTATTCTAAAATTCATTTTTCCATAAAATTTGGGTGTCAAACACCCTCCTAATCTAAAAGCATATAAATCGTAAGTTCTTTTTTGTTTTATGGATATGATTATAAGAAAAAGTGTGCGAGTGTCAATAAGAATATTTGTCTAGAAGTCCTAAATTCGATATTGTACCACATGTAAACAATTGTATCAAAAGTTACTCTTTTTATTTCCTTGTATTATTTCAGTGCGTGGCATCGTGTTCTCTCTGATTTTATCCTTTACCCATAATCAGTAAGATAAGATTAGGGAATATATTCCTTGGACATAATATTTCTTTTTTTGTATATTCCACCTAAATGTTGCTTCTTGTTCCCACGCTTTTGCATTGTCACGAGTATCTTTGAAAGTTCTATTCTTCCATCTTCATCAAGCAAAGAATCCAAAGAACAAAAGGCAATATGCAAAGTTTTTATTACTGACTTTAACAGAAAGAGCTTTCATATCTTGTTTTTCTATAGACGAGAATTGAAAGGCATAACGTCTACTTTATACTACAGTAAAGGCATATAGTATATCAATGTGAACATACGGAATTATCGAGTAAAGAGTACAAATATTTGTTGAATTGCTGTTTATTTTTAAGTTATGTTCGACCACCTTGTAAAAAAGATTTATTGCCAGAAAGATGATAAATTTGTTTAATCATATTGTCAAAAACATGATATTCACTTGCGTCTTCATCTCTATGGTGGGATCAGTAGCAGATGGAGGGATGGGATTGGATAGGTTGGTGAAGGAGAACGAAAAATTTTGTGGCTAAACCACATTTTAATTGCAATGAATATCTTGAAATTTTTATTTATTTATTTTTTTCTTTTTACACTTATGATCTAATTTTTTTAATTTTATCAGCCTTCTATTAATTTTCACATCTTTATCTGTTGAGACGACTATCATCCTATGAGGGCCAAAATGATATTAATCTCTTATTTTAAATAATTGAAATAAATAAATAATGTAAAAGTTTAACAAAATATTTGTCTATCTTTTCAATGCATAATAGTAGAATATTTGGACGAAAATCATGATTTAGAGACAAAATATGTTAATTAATTAAAGGTTAAGAATGCTAATATGACGAGAGAAAAGTTGAGGACAGAGAAATAAAAGTGAGCAAATATTGAAAATCTTTCTTCTAGTTATTATAATGTGGTGCTGGTATAAAAATTTGTTATGTTCACACATAATTATCCTTAAATAAAATGGAATATAAGTGTGAATCCTTTTTTTTAAATTCTGCCATTTAGAAAAGGGCCTTTCGAAAAGTTTAACTTTATGTGTGTATATATACACTACAGCTTCCGATTAGCATTAAACTTCCACAAATTCTTAATTGTCCTCTTGACGAATTTGTGCTGTTACATTTTCCAAAATGAAAAACCCACAAAACCAACCTCCTTCAGGTTACTCCTCTCTCTCTCTAATCTCTGCACATGCATGTATGCTCTTTAATGAACTTAGGCACTGTTTGGTAGGGCTTTTGAAAAGTCGAAACTGCTTCTTAGACTATAGTTACTTTTAAACACGAGTCTGATTATAAGAGATTTTAGAGAAAGTTGTTCTTCTACAAGAGGAACAATCCAAGTCAAAAAGGGCTTAAACTCTTTTTAAGTTTTGTTGAACTATTTTGATATGCAGGTTACCCGACTGGAAATTGTCCAACCGGAAAGAAGAAAAAGAAGATGAGTTTCTGGCCACGATCAAAACCAAAAGGAGATCGGGGATTCTGCGAGGGATGGTAAGTTCATTTCAAACTGCATGTTCGTTATTTTTAATGTAAATTACTGAAAAATATTTAAGTAACTTATTTTGATACGGCTAATCTGGCTCGAAGGTTTTCGTCTAAACCCTTTTTTGCTCGGAAAAGTGAGATCGCATCGAATTTTTTGTGATCTTGATTTACATTTAACCCTTTATTTGTTTCTGCAGTCTCTTCGCGTTGTGTTGCTGTTGGCTTTGTGACATATGCTTTGATTAAATACAATGGACGTTGAGGAACATATAAATACGTATAATCGGTTTGCTGTCTTTGAGAAATTAAAGACTCTGATAGTTTGAGGTTGTCTAATGTAATTGATGTCATGTCTGTATAAATAAGATACATTTTCGTATCTTAGTGTTAATGCATAAGTAAATTCTCCTAAATTATGGAATGATAAGACTGTTATATTTTAAAACAGCCAGCATTAATCGATTGACATGTAATCGATTGACGATAAATGTCATTTGTACACTCTAAAGTGTACATCATGTTTGACACTTGGTGTACAGTTTGCCAAACTTTGGTGTACACTCAACTACACCAAGCATGACTGAATATAGACATGGAAAATCAACTCAAAGTTTAGTCTTATCATACACGTCCAATGGAAAAGGTTTATATAAAGAGATTTTCACAATATTCACTATTTATCATTTGATACTTTTATGGTGATATTTCAACCACTGGATTGGATTTGAGCGTCCAAGGGCCTCGATTGGGTAACTGAGTGCTGCCTTCAACATGTGTTCTTTTTCTGACCAATTGCAAGATCAACAAAATATTGACTATTGATATTTTTTAAGACAATAATTTGGCATCGTTTATGAGAACGATACCAAAAATCCATGCTCCACCACCCCATTACAGGCTATCAAACATCTATTATCATGTGACCGCTCGTTGAAAACACAAACTCGCCACATTTGTCCAAGAAGGATATCGATCTTCAAATTCTTGCTCACGAATGAGCTTTGTGTTGAATCTGAGATCAATTTTTTTTGGTTTTGAAGTAATAAATGTTATTCGTATGTAATGGTGTACATAATGATGACATGAAAGAAAGGGAGGAAAAGAATAGATGAAAAGAAAAGAAATTCGATCGTTAGAATCATTCTCTCTCTTACATATCATCATTATACGCAAATGGCTTTAATCAGGAGTGTAATTCCATTCTTGGTCATAGACAAAAACAAACTTCTGTAAAGCTTGAGGTATTAGCGTAGATGGGTGTAATCCGTTCCAAGGAAATATTAAGTATCATCATCATCATGCCCATACCGGGCTTGATGTAAGGCCTAACACTCCGGATGTAAAATATTTGATGCCCAATACAATTTATAAAGGGAAAAATACACAAGGAAAAAATTCACAAACCAAATTTTAACTATGCACAATTCAAAAATCAGGTATTAAGTTTAATTAATGCAAATATCATGTTTTATCTAATTAATTTAAAATATTTATTAAATAAATATAATAAAATCACAATTATACAATTAATGATCACAAATTCATAATTATAGATCACAGATTTATTTACTAATCACATATCATCAAATTGATTGGTCACAGATTATTTCGTGGTCACAAATCAAAAATTTTGTAGGACGCAAATTATTTCGAAATCACAAATCAAAAATTTTTTAGGTGACAGTTTATTTCATTGGTCACACATTACAGTTTATCTTTGGGTTATATATTTTCAAATTTTATAGTCACGGATTATTTTTAAGCCACAGATTAATAGTTAGTCCAAATAATTGGTCACATGCACTAAACACCCTACCACCGATCCTGATTCCACACCAATCTTAGTCACAAATCACCACCACACAATCGTTGCTTGCACCACACCATCGCGTACACTGCACCACCACCATCAACAAAACGAACATTGCATCCGCTACTTGCAATGAAAAATGGAATATTATTTTTTATGCTTTTTAAAGTATTGGTTTGACAGATGAAAATATATGAGAAATTTCAAAATAAGTTCCAATATCTGTCCAAATATTCTTACATTACAAAATGAAACAGACTTAGAATTATCAACCGAAACACAAACAACCAAAATTATGAACTTATACGCCAAAAAATATATATTATTTGATGAGGGATTTGTTTGGTTGTTTGAACAGTATACTCTTGATAGAATTCTTCAAGAAAAGAGATTTGCGAACATTTATAACTAAATATTAAAATACCAACATGACAATGTAGAAAATGAAAAGTAAGAATCAAATTTAATGTTGATATTGATTGGATGAATTAGTGAATTTTTAAAAATGTATTAGGAATGTATTTATAGTATGATGAATATATAAAATTTGCATGGATCTATAATATTTAAATGAATGAATTTAATAAGGATAATATTGAAATTTCATGTTGATGAAATTAGTAATTTTAAATTTTAATATTTTAACGGGGACATAAGTAGAGTAAGATGTATATATAAAATTTATAGATGTAAATAGTGGCACCTTTTTAATTGTGTTATGAAAGGAAAGGAAAAATATCAATATTTATGCTTATTATTTTTATGTATTTATTATGTAGGGTACGATAGTGGATAATGTTTTGTAGAAATTGGCACAATAAGGTGATGTTGAAGAAAAATATTGGAGAAAGTTCTGGTAAAAGCTGTATGGATAAAGATGATCTTGTGTGGGAATACAGGTGGTGTGAGTAATAATGAAGGTTCATACTTGAATCAATTAATCCATTTGTACAGAAAAAAGTTTCACAGAAAATTGCAATAGTACTCTCATAATATGGGGCCCAATGTGAAAAAAAATTGCCAAAAAATACCCCATCCACCCCCATATGTGTGTTTTGGCAGGCTTCTGTGAAGAGGCATTCTGTACATCAAGCAAAATTGTACTTGGATGGAGTTAAGAATGAGGAAATTGACTAATTTATCATTTACAAATCTTTTTGACTAACATTTAAATTCTTTTAGGCCACGGCTTTATCAATTTTCATATTTACATTTTAGCTGTACATTGAATTTTTTGTGGTTAGATTTGTGTTAAGTTATCGTTCTTGACCAAGTATGTGTTATTTGTGACTAAGTTTTGCCTTTATTCTGATTATTTGTGACTATATCTATTTAACTGTAACCGTATGTGACAAAATATGCGTTAATAGTGACATGTATAATCGTACAAATGTTAATTGTGAGTGTTTGTGATAATATCTATTTACATTATGAACATTTATATGTTAACTGTGATACTCTATGACCAAATCCGTGTTAATCGTCACCTATTGTGACAAAAAATGTGTTTAATGTAACACGGCTAATTATAACTTGTTATTATATTATCACAAATTTTATCTAAATTAAATATCAATCGTAAAAACAGTTTGTCATCTACATTAACATAACAAACATCATCCATGTAATTAAAAAAGTAAAAATATTAATCTGTATGTAAGTAACAGCCAATAATTACAATCACATACTAATCACAAATCACAGAAAGTCACAATCACAAAGATATAATTTATAGGTCATAATTATAAATTTTGTTGTAAATTATATGTTTTTATATGTTACAGATTATTTATTGGTCACAACTCATTATACATTAACAAATTTAATTAACCACAACTTATTTTCATGATCACAAATTATAAAATTATTTGGTCATTACTTATTCATCAATCACAAAACTGCAAATTATATGTGACAATTACCAATTTAGTCACAAATTATACATTTTTAGGTCTTATATTATTTATTAGTCATAAATTTTTCGTTTCATTGATCACAATCTTCATCCTACTACTTCACCCCACACTACACTAGTGGTATCACCAAAAAAAATATTGCGACCGCCACCACCACCAC